CTTCCGAAACACGCAAATCCAAAAAAGGATAAAGAACATTAATCATTGAAAAATATAAACACTCCAATACTCTACCGTACTTATTTGAATGATTTCTTGGTTTATAATAATAATAATAATAATAAATGGGCTTTATTTCGTACCTAAGTAAAAGTACAAAAAAGGCGAAGTGTCGCTAAAATTAGCGTTTTTCAACTTAACCTTAACCTTAACAAAAAAAAATATATATATATAACAAAACATTCTACCAACAAAAATGTATCCATAATTCTGAATAATTACTAAATAATTAACAACACAGAACAATTACAAGAATAGTCCATATTTCTAGCATTTTGTACTCATCATCAGACCTCGACTTGTAGTTTTAGTTTAAGCCTCTTTTTAAAATTAAATAATGCATAGTTTTGGAATGTAACAGGCAGATCATTGTATAATTTAATAGCATTGTAGCTGAATGATGTTTTGTAGACAGCCTTAGAATGTAAGGGTATCACTAACATATTCCTATTCCTTGTATTCAGTTGATTTATGTCACTACATCGTGTTAACTTATTATGCAAATATTGTGGTTGTTTGGTAGCTAAAACCTTATGTGTGAGTGTCAATAAGTGAAGCTTTTGCATGCCTTTAATCTGCAGAATACCAAGTTCCTTAAATTTATGAGAAATATGATCAAACTTTCGTATTCCGCAAGAAAATCTGATGCACGAATTCTGAATACGCTGTAATTTGCTTTGTTCACCATATGATAAAGCTGCGCCATATATACTGTCACAATAACTGATTTTTGATATAATTAATGTTTCACACAGTTTCAGCTTTACTGAAGTAGATATTATTTGCCTATGTGGATAAAACTGTTTCAAAATGCAGTATGATGCACTACATAACGAATTTACGTGTTTTTTGTATTTTAGTTCTGTGTCAATCCAGAGTCCCAGATTTTTACACTCATTCATTATAGGAAGCCGGCAATCATAGATTTTAAGGTTAATTTCCGTTTCGATCAATGTTCTTTTGTTTTTTGAGCCGAAAACCATAACTGAAGATTTAGATGGATTAATTTTTAGGTTATGCGAGCACGAGATGTCTACTAGCCTTGTTAAGTCTTCGTTGAGCAATGCTTCTGCAATTTTAAAATCTTTGTGTTGGAAACTAAAATAAATTTGAGTATCATCAGCATAGTGATGGATTGTGCAATTATGGACATATTGATGGAAATCCGATATATATAGAGAGAAAAGTAAAGGTCCCAGTATGGAACCTTGTGGAACACCAAAACTTATAGCAGTTGACTGTGACATTTTCGAAGCTGTTAAGACCTTTTGATTTCTATTTGACAAATAGCAGCTTATCAAATTGACTGCAGCATCAGTAAAACCATAGTAAGACAGCTTAAGTAGCAGAATTTCAGGGTCTATCATATCAAAAGCTTTTGTGTAATCCAGCAGAACTAAACAAGTGATATTTCCTTGGTCAAGGCCTCTTATAACATCATCAGTGACATTGGCTAGAGCAGTTGTTGTACTATGGTTTTCCCTGAATCCAGACTGCATTGATGGAACTATTTCATTACTGAAAATATACTGAGATATTTGTATCTTCATTTCCCGTTCCAAAAGCTTCGAAAATGCGGGAAGTAAGCTGACTGGTCTAAGTTGCGTTACAGACGTGGGAATCGCTACTTTAGGAATAGGTATGATGATAGCCTGCTTCCAAACATCAGGGAAACATGATGTTGATATTGCGTGATTGATTATAAATGTAATATGGTCTAAGAGCAAAGTGAAAATGTATTTTATCATAATGAGTGAGATTCCATCAGCCCCTACAGCATTAGTTTTAATAAATGAGAAACTCTTCGCAACAGATTCTTTGGCAACCTTTTGGAAACAGAATGACTTGGGAAACTTATTGTTTTGATATTTGTTCAGTAGTTCTAATTGCTTTTGTGTCTTGGTTATGATCGGAATATTTGAGAAATGTGAATTTATTTCATCTGCGTCATTGAAGCTATCTGGAAGAGTATTTATAGAGGACTTAATTATATTAAGTTTCCTAAGAGAACTCCATATTGCTTTACTGTTCCTCCCAGATAGGATATATTCCATATAAGCCTTTTTCTCTCTCCGCAGAGCAGCAGCAGCGTAATTACGGAGTTCTTTATAATAGTTCCAGTGGGCAGTTGACTTACTTCTTTTAAACCTTAGATACGCTTTATCTCTAGCTTTATTGATCATTTTAATATTGTATGTTAGCCAAGGAGCTGGTGGCTTAGTAACTCTAAGTGTTCTCATAGGTGCACAATTATCAAATAAATTTAGTATGTTGCTATTTAAAAAATTTACCATGTCATTAACGCTGTTTAATTGAAAAATATCATCCCAATGAGTCGAATGAAATAAATCATAAAAGGTACGTTCATTAAAGTTACGAAAGTCCCTAAACGTGTAAAACTTCTGCGTCCGGTTGCTTAACGTTTTATGGAGGTTCTATTGAGGCTAATTAGATAAAATATAATGAATGCTTTTTTATTTCCACATATATACACGTAAAGTGAGAAGCAAATTTGTCGGACCGCTTGAGTTCAATGTGTACGAGAGAGGAGTGTATGTAGACACATATGTTAGAAAGAGATAGAAGCCAGCTGGATAGTAAAGCTCATCGCAATGCTGCTTAGCACCGTCGCCAACAGTTACATCAGTTCCTTGAATTAAGATCCATATTGAAAATATGCATTAGTTTATTCTTGACGCCCAAGTGATGGTTTTCTGCAACATTGCATCATTGGTTCGTTTGATAATACCGCATCTTGTATGTTCCATAGGCAAGGTTTCCACCTCCATGACCATAGTTGAGCGATTTTGGTCAGTACCCATCTAGCGCTCATTGGGGAGTGTAGTCCTGCTTCGAAATTGCTTTTACCTGTGTACACGCAGGCAGTGATAATTTGTATTGCGGAACGTTATTTGTTACATTTTCCGACCGCAGCACTGTCGCAAAATTTAACAATAACTCAGGACGTATTGATTTTCTCACCATCGGTGGAAATCAAAGTTGATTCTAAAAGAAATTAAATACCAGGTTGCATCAACATCAAAATAAATAAATAATTCTAATTAGAATAAAAATAAAATGTTAAATTAAATGTTCGAACAGATCTTCTTAGGTCTGACAGTAACCCTGTAGAAACCTGTGTGAACATTTTCTGGTGTAACATATTGGCGACGCGGCAGATTGTTCGACCTTCTGAGTCACCGTCCCTAGGCAATGTTGTGATGACTCTTCAGCCTACTACTATCTCTTTCTAACATGTGTTGATACACACTTCTCGCGTTTCTCTCTCGCACACATTAAACTGAAGCCGTCAGGCAAATTTGGTTTACCCTGTATATGCAACAACATATGCTCGCCTAAAGGGGATATTGGGCATGGAAGGCGAATAAAGGAAGCAAGGTAGATACAAATTTAAATACATTATAAAATTTATCTAGATATTAAGTTGTATTACAAATTAAAAAAGTATAACTTCTTGCACTTGGTTTTACATTTTTGCTTCCGAGTCTTTAGTAAAATTTATTACATATTGTAAAATATTTATTCATTAATTCCAAATTTTACTTATGACTAAGTGTCACAGAAAAAATGTCTCTGAAACTCAGTCATGTTTCAATGTAAGCAACTACGTTAAAGTTTAATGTATCCAAGATACCCTGGAGGGATGCTGCGATATCCATCTTGAATAAATTGTGTAATTACTCGCTATAGCATTTTAAAATTTGATTATTTGAACAAAAATATATTCAACAAACAAATCGTAATATGGACAAATACGAAACCTACTTTTTCGATTTCATGGTAAGCAAAAATAGAAGCTAGTCTCAAAATAGCACGAAAAATTCAAACTACGTTATTCGTGTTTCTACCAGTCTGAGGAGGATATACTATGACTGTTTTTTCTGCAGATTGATGTTTCTGCAGACCTGGTAATTGGAAGGTTACAATACTGAAATCGCAAATTGAAATCTTTTGAAGAAAACCTACTTGAGACGGAGATCACTATATGCCAATTAAACAATTTTCAATTTGAAACTAAGGAAAAAACTGTTCTCATCTTTGGTTATGCCGATTTTCAACTACTGTGATATTTTATATTATCCGTGTCTCGATGTTGTTACTAGAAATCGGATTCAAATTGTGCAAAACAATTGTGTTCATCTGCGGTTTAAGGCGCCCATGCTTCTGGCAGTCTTATTGAATTAAACTGGATGATAACAAAGAATATTGTCAAATGTCATTACCTTGTTTTCATTCATAAACTAATACTTACGTCAAAACCTATATACTTAAGAGAAAAGTTGATCTTTAGGCGTAATATTCATGATAGACATATTAGATTTTAACATTGTAAGTAATGTTTTTACGGATATTGCTTTGGATTTAAATTGTCGTACAATATTTTTTGAAGTACGACCTAATGAGGAAAAACATTTTCGGAAACTCGACTAGAACGAAGACCACAACTTCTTTCTGGCATGAATTTATTTGCGTTATAGCAGCACTCTCAATATCTTTGTACTATTAGATTTGCTGGCAACCAATCAGTCTCCAAGACGGAGGTAAAAAAGAATGCTAGAAGGGCTTAGGTGGGACACAGTTTTGCCACAGTTCGCGCCTATAATTTTCTTATATCAAATGTTCATTTTGGACGCTAGATAAAAATGTAATCAGCTTAAATTAGGTTGATTAAGCTTAATATGCACTGCGTTGGCAGACATTATGCGCTATTAATATATTTCTACATAAAATAGAAATTCCAGCAAAGTATTTGGATGGACGGTGCTCAGTGGCTACTTTTTTCTTCTTAATGCCCCTGCCCAAGTCCAACTAAATGTGACAATTGCAAATTACAGTGAAAGAGGCGGCAGAGTTGACTGTTCAATTTTGAATGACAGATACAAATTAAAAATAATGAAATATATTAGTTTTTCTCTTACCTATCTTCTTTAGCGGCTCTAGAATAATAAGCTCTACCTCTAATAGCTGAATAGAATGAGTACGCTTCATTCAAATAGTTTGTTTCACTAGTTCTCAAGCTGGAACAAAAAACGTACGGTGAAATAAATTCAGATTGACAAAGGAAGTAGTTGACATCAAACGCAAAGTTTGGAAATAAGGTCCGATTTACTTTTTTCAATTTCCAAATTCCTGGAATCGAAAGAAGTATCTAAACGAGTCTAGCTGTCTAGGCTATGCCAGCACCCTCATTTGAATTTTACCCATCTTTCTCATAGGCATTAACTAAAGAGCTCTTAAACCTAGCTTTCCGAATGTGTACATATATCCTTTTCATTTCTCACGCCTGCAACTGAGGAAGTATTGTAATTTCCGTCGGTCTTTCTGTCTGTCCACTAATCGTTGGCCCGTCTATAGCTTGGAAACTGACAGTCGGATTTTGATGACACTTTCACACAAGGTTATCACTAGAGACTGGATTATATGCAACATAAAAAGTTTGAAATTTGCATTAAAACTGGTTAAAATATGCTTGATAGCATCAAAGTATGCAAAATTAAATAATAATAAGACAATGATTTTTATACTTATTCTTTGTTATTTTTGTAAACACAAACGGTAAGGTATTGTTCCAAATGTTCGGCGGTAAGACAGTGCCGTCGATCACTCAAAATATCATTATAGGTCAAAAATGACCGCTCCACATCAACGGAGTTGACTGGACAGTATTTGAATCTAGGTGATATGCTAGCTTTTATGGTCTGGCAAGACGTCACCAGCACCATTAATAAAGCTCTCAATTGGACTGCTTAGGCTGGACGTTCGTTGGAAGCATATTCGTACATAAAATTTAGGCGCGAATTCACTCGAACGTCTCATCTATCAAAATTTTGATTGGAAACCTTATCGTCTGTCGAAAAAGCGTGAGATCAATAAATTTTTCTAGCTGCAAAATTTAATTCACTATCGAGATAACATGCCGGAAAAGTTGTAATTATAGCAAAAATATGCAACGTCTCTAGATGTTTCTTGAAATCTGCAACAACCAGCGAAAATAGGCTTAATATGCAAATGCTTATAATCCGGTCTCTAGTTATCACTATGCCAAAGACGAAAAAGCTTTATAGTTTGCCAGTGGTGGTGAAGAAAAAGGTCAAAAACGAAAAATCATAAATCATTTTTTGAGGTTTTAGTTACAGGATCCTGATCATTTAAAAAAAATGTAAAGGGTATAAGAATGAGGAGTGAATGGTTGATCCTCTTTTAGCCCCAATACAATTCTACGAACCTATTAGACTCATGTATTTCATACATCATAGATTTCCCCGTACATTTGAAGTTAAAGCTTGGAACGATAGAAAAATCTTTGTATGTGTCCTGCAATTGTACTGACTTGATTCGTTTAAATTCTTTGTATACGTGTTCTTAACTATCTTTTTTCTTGAACGATCTAACTTAAACATTCTGATTTTGTCCGTTCAACCAAAGACGACCAGCCACAGGCTTGACCTCTGGGATAATAAACTAATAAACGAAAGCACACTATTTTGTGTCCAGGATATAAGGTCTATGATCTTATTTCGATAGGGTCTAACTTGTGCTGAACATAATCCCTTGTGATATGACTGTGTTACGTGGGAAGTGTGTCAACCTACTTGACGCTTTTTTTAATGTGTCTCAGATAAACAATTATCAAAGCTTCAGATATGATTGAAATCGTGAGAACTTTATCTTGTCTCATGTTTTACGATTTATGCGTTGTGCTAATTACGAGTATGAATATATTTTGTTCTGTTTACTTCCTACGCTACTGGCGGTCGTATTGTTCATCAACCTTACTTATAGTCATTCCTGAAGAAATATTACCATTCGTTGTCAAATGGCTAGGAACTCGGGACGAATTTGTACAGACCTATTTGATTGACTTGATCTGTTTAATGTTTGTTTGATATACATGTTCGAAGTTGATTTTTTTTGATAGGCGGAAACTTACGTTGGACATAACTTCTTATGACCGATGGAATGTGCAGGGTCAGCACACTTGAGCCACTTTTTTTACGAACACTTTGAAATTAATTTTGTGAATAAGAATCATACTTACTAATAATGATAATAAAGCTGTCCGATTTTTGAAGCAATTTCCCCAATCTGCCACCTTTTCAAATTATATTTAGTATCTAAGATTTGGCGATGCTGCTGTTGAAATTTCCAAAGCTTGGTGTAAATATCAAAAGTTCTGCCGAAGTAAGCTTGCCATTGCTTGTGGCCATATTGTGGCAGGTCTCTGTAACAAAATATTTTCGATGAAGAACGCAAAAATGTGTAGTCACTAAAGCCTACCCCAGCAATGGAAGATGCGTGCCAAACGCACCAAAACCGAAACATATAGGTATTTGTAATCACTTTTTATCTTATTTTTTCATCTTCAGCCAAAGATTACGAAACTGATAGTTGATGAAGTACCTTAGCACCTGCTCAGACAAATATTCTGATTCGGTTTTTTGAATGATCTTGGTATGGTAGATAATGAGACTTTAGAGTGTGGTTCTTTGTACTTTGGTCTTTGATACAAATAGTTGAGGTTTGGGCGCCAGCTAGTTTCAAGAACTAGGAAAAAGGAATAACAAGTTGTGCCTTTCGGCCTCTCAAAGCTTGAACTGACTCAAATGATAGGTCCCTGAAGCTAAAGGAAACAAATATTCACAAGGTACACAAACATTTATTGAACAAAAAAAGAAATTCAAAAGAAGCCCTGGAAGCCAAGCAAAAGGAAATTATTTGGTACTAACCTCCAGCTAAATGGTTTCCAGCAAAAACAGGAATTGAAAAAAAATCACCTTGGTAGGTGCTTGGCTAATACAGAATGGTGGGATTGATTCCCACACAAGAGAAGCGATATCTGCTATGGAGCCTCTCGAAGGAAGGGCTACCCAAATGGAAGCTCCGATGCAAAGGTAACCAAGGGTAGTCCCAGATGAAGGTAGAACCCTCGAACAATGAGAGTTTACAGAAATGGGGGACTGCTCCTCCTACTTGAAGATCACCTAGGAGTACCAATGTAGACAGTTCCCCTCAGCTCAATGGTTTAGTGTAGCTGTGACAACGGCTAAATCCTCAAGAGGCTGAGAAAAGGGCCCCGACAACAAAATTCACTAATGGAGGCAGATTAATAACAAAATCTTCAACCCGACAAATCCCAGCACTGAGTGTGAAATTATTTCACTAACGAAGGTTGAGGGCCGCTGAACTCCAACACGAGAGCACCGGAAATAGCACCAGGTCACCTTCAGCTCTCGTATTTACGGTCAGAAATGATAAAAAATGACTTTTAACAAGATGAACAGTAGAGTACGATTTCCTACCATAAAATTATTAGACCAAGAGAAGTGTTTTGTTACTTTAACAAGATATAGTTATTTTTTTAGTGGACCATAAGCATACCTTTAACGAATCTGTATGTTATCAGGTCAAAAATTCCTTCAAAAGTTGTTTAAACAAATCTTTAATCATACTCAATTTAAGCACCAGACTATGTAGACTTCTTAGATCAGTAAAGTTGCTGGTTTTCGATATATTAGCAATCTAGTATTTGAAAAAGTGTACCATTTTAACCACAAAAACAATATGAAAAAAAAATCAAAAATATAATCAACAGTGAGCGGATACATGATCAACAATTAAAAACCAAAGGTTTACAATGGAAAGCCCCCAGGCCAAAAAGCTTGCTAGATCTTTGATGAAGATTTACGAACCTTGGTAACTTTAAAATTTTCGTTCCCTCAAATTGTTTATTAAATTTTTTGTTCAGAATGACCCAAAAAATGTTTAAATAACTGTTGATGCAGTTTTGGTGTTCGGGTTATACAAATAAATTGAATTACCTGGACTATAATATTCATCGAAAGTTTTGTTACCTCTATAGCAAAAAAGTACAGTTTAGGACAAAAATATGTTTGAATTGATATTCTTGTTATAGAGCGCTAAAGCGGCAAAAGTAGTCTCGGTTCCTTGTCAACGATTTCCCAGATCAACTGTAATATTAAACTAACTACATCCAATACAATAAAGTATAATTCTGAAAATGAAATTAGAGGTATTGTTGCTACGGTTGAGGACTGATTTGCTGCCCTAGTATGTGAAGAATTGCGAGGCTCCTGAAATACCTTGCCCCCATTAAGCGTTTTTCTTGAGCGGCAAAGCTACACTTTGCGTACCTTATGCACAACTGGTTATTAGCTGTAAGAGGTTACTAATAAAACTAGAACAAAGTAAAGGAACGCTGCGCTGACTTAAGGATCTCTATTAGATCCATTATTGTTTTTTATTAATATTCTGAATGTAACAGTAATAGAGCATAATTCAAGGAAAATTCCGCAAGGTCTGCTATCCTTTCAAGTCCGATCAACTTCATCTTTTGAGTCGGTAGAAGCGACGGATTAAGGTGAACTTCATCTCACGTGACCTACTTTATAGCTCTAGAATATTATCAATAATGTACGGACTGTCATGTCCGGCGGGTAGTTGTTACTTTTTGGATTAGCGCTCTGGGTCGTGAATAAACCACACACATTCACCCTTATATAGGTTATGTCAGGGACCTTGCGTCACACAATTGACATACCAAAAACTAATTAAAACTATCTGTCTTTGTCATGAATGACCATCACAATGTTCATTCCTCATTGACAGCCGTCCAAAAAAACGATTTGCGGCAAATTTTGTATCAGAAGCGGGATTGAAGAACAGTCGTCGATGACTCATATGCAAGGGGGTAGAAGGTGGTGTGACCGGAGCATGCAGATCATGCTTACTCACCGTAGACCGTTGAATAGCTGTTTGGACTTCTCTAGGAGGTGAACAAACTCCATGACGATTTTACGTTCATGCTCGTCCAGTGTGGCCATGGCTACCATGATTGTGTTGCGGTACGGAGGGTCGTCAGCGGGTCATTTTGCGGTGCATAGAAGGCTGCGGTCGCACGTTGCAGTTACGACGAACACATCGGGCGACGTTGTCAAATTTACAAAGCTCTTTTTCGCATACCATTGAGAAATTCTGGATTCTAACCTTTTCGAGTTACTGTCTCGGAATAAAAGGTCCTGCGGTAGCAGCCACAGTGCAAAGAAAATTAGGCCATGCTGAAAGTTTGTTCATGGATGACGCTAGAACCTTCCAGGTCCCGTTTTGGACGCCGGAATATAGTATGTCGTTGGCTATCGTCAGATAGAACACGCTAATAATTGATATAAGCCGGAGAAAATTCAGATTTGTTTAAGCCTTTTTTAGGATGACCTTCTTTTATAATGAAGCAACTGTGAGGGGACAAAACCTTTTAGTGATCCAAATTTGGAAATGCCTTAGATTATTAGGTTGTTCCAAAATTTTGACATCCTAGGAGCAAAGGAGCAGCCGTATCCGGCTAGTGCGCGATGTACAGAATTCCATGAATCGATTTCAAAATGAGAGAGAAATTAATGCTCATTATGGTATAACATTTAGGTATCCTTGGGCCACCTTGTAGTTTGTGAGCTTTTATAAGGGTCCCGTTGGATCAACCGTAAATAATTCAATAAAAGCCAACAATGTCTAATACTCTTTATATTCCATATTAACAAACTAAATTGTTTAAAATACTAACGTATTAATGTCTTTTTACATTATTTAACAATACCTACCTAAAATAAATCATTATAATTAGATAGGTAAGTATATAATAGATATATAAAAAACCAGACCTATGGTAATACAGGGTGGACGATATGTAATTGACTGGTTTGTATCTTGAATATTTGTGAAATGAAATAAAATACGTCCACTTTTTTCATCTTAATCTATAATATCAGACAAATGTTCACCTCTAGAAGCCGCGCAAACCCGAGCCCTCCTGATTACATTTTCCATCGCTTTTTGGTAGGTTTCGGGAGGAATATTTTCAATCGCTTCCGTAATATTGTTCTTCAGCTGCTCTACATTATTTGGTTTGTTGACATGAACCCTATTCTTCAAAAATCCTCATAAAAAAGTCAGGAGCCGTTAAATCCGGTGACCTTAGTGGCCAGTTGCCCTCACTAAATCTAGAAATTAAACGTCCCGGAAATATTGTTCGCAAAAGATTCATTGTTTCCCAAGCGGTGTGAAAAGTTTCCGGTCCTGCAAGAACCACATGATTTGCAGGTTTTATTGTTGGATTTGAGGAACAAGAAAGTTTTGCACCATATTACGGTAGCGCTCGCCAGTGACAGTAAGAGAACCTTTAGCGTGTTCAAAGAAGTAAGGTCCAAATACACCTCCACACCAAACACCGCACGAGGGTTCTCTAATGCCCATATATGACAGTTCTGCTTATTAACAAATCCGTTCATATCGATGTAGGCTTCACCGCTCATTATCAATTGCCAGTAAAAATCTGCGACTTTCATAGTCACTAAGCTGTAGTTTTTGGGTTAACTGAATTTTGTATGACCGCAAATGCAAATCTTTTTTAAAATAGTGCATAATGACGTGCGACGAATACCCAGTTTTTGAGAACGATGCCTGGTAGACGCCTCAGGGCGCTCTACTACACTTTCATGAACTCTCTCAATATTTCCAGAGTAAGAACAATTCGAACATGAATCGACCCTGGCAAGGTTTTAACTTCACCTGTTTGTTCAATTTTCCGCATCAACTGACGAATGGTGTTGACAGTGGGCACATTATTTCGACCAAAATCTTGTCAGAGCTTCCGAAAAAAAAACCGAAAAGTTTAAAAAATTATTACATATTCAAAAAATAGAGAGTATCTACAAAACTGCTTTCAGGGAAGCTGTAGAGCAAGAAAATACCTTCAAAATTAGACCTCATACGTTCTGTAGTGATTTGTCAAAAAAAAATCCAAAATTATTTTTACAAAGAGAATTAGTTTTTACAGGCAAAAAAAATCATATCCTTGACGGACGTCTGTTTTTCTAGAGTCTCGGGCACAGAACTTCTATTGCGTCGATTTTCTCCAGACTGAAGGATATTTCGTACAACTGGCAGCAGCGCGTCACAACGCAAAATCGAACAGTGTGACGCGTCGCGGCGCTTGATGTTAGCGGCGGCATCGTCAATAGACGGCGGTGGAGGGAACTATTTTTAGGTGGCGCTGCCAACACTCTAACTAAGGGGTGGAACAGTCCGCAGTTTGCATCAAGAGGGTGAAAAAGTTTGATAAATTAGCAACTGTTATGGGTTTTTTTGGTGTTACAAACGTGTAACAAATGACATAAGGGAATGCTTGCGATTATAGTACGTTCCTCATTCATAGTACCTAACTGGACCAACAGTTTTCGGCGACATCTACAAACTGAAACTGTACACTAACACTAAAACAACCGTTACGTTATTATTGATTTGCTGCTCCCCCCTCTTAATCTCGCTGGACACAAGTAGATGGTAGGGTAAGCACCCTACGACCCTACGATGCGTGTTACTTATCCCGCCAACAGATGGATATTGCGGTTGTTCATGCTTTAAAATGGTGAAAAAATAGCTTGAGAATTATTTCAAAATTACGGCTATTCTAAAATTTTATCACTATGCCCTATGATCACTTTGCAGTTAAAAGACATATAAAAATAACAAACTCGTCAAAGCGTGATGGATACTCTCCTACCTAATAGGGTATAAGTAACTCTTTTTGTATGTATGTAGTTCTGATTTCAAATAGAATAAAGATTTTCCTGTGCACTTTCTTTTCCCCAAAAAAACGTACATACCTACGTCATATGCATAACGAACCCGATATCAGGTCAATTCTCTATCTGATGCAACCCTATACGAGGGATGTCTTTTAAGTTTTGCATATGGAAATAAAACAACACGGTAGGTAGTTTTAAATGATTTTATTGTTTTTCGAAGTATTCTCCACGAAGATTAATACACATCTGCATGCGCTCGAACGAATTTTCGAAGCTCTTATTCCAGTCGTTTGCTGGCAGATCCAAAACGGCATTTTTGAATGCGTCAACTGCATCTTCTGGTGACTGGAACCTTTGACTACGCAGTCTGTTTTTAATTTTCGGGAAAGTAAATCGTTAGGACTTAGATCGGGACTATATCGAGGATGGTCCAATAATTCCACGTTTTCTTCCGTTAAATACTGCCTTATTTTTTGGGCTGTGTGCGAGCTTGCATTGTCTTGGTGGAGGATGATTCGTCTTTGGAAGCTCGTTGATAACTTTTGGCAAACAAATGGTGGTATACCAATCCGCAGTAACAGTTCTTTGCTCATTAAGAGGAATTGTTGCAATATGACCCGCTTTTGACACAAATGTCGCGACCATCTTTTTCGAAACACTTCGAGAACGGATGACTTTTGTTGTCTTTTCTTCACCTTGGAACACCCAAACAGCCGACTGTCGTTTATTTTCTGGTTCATAACAGTAAATCCACGATTCATCACCACTTACAATACTGTACATATTTTTTGAGTTTCCAGAATTGAAACGGTCAAGCGTTTTTTGACACCAATTAACCCTGGCTGCTTTCCGCTCTTCAGTCAACAGGTGGAGTATCCAACGAGAAACAAATTTTCTTACTCCTAATTCTTCATGTAAAATTTTTTGAAGTGAGGTCTTTGAGATCTGCAAGGACGCCTCAATCTCGCGATATGTCACATGTCTATCTTCAATGATGAGTTTCCTGGGTGACTGCCGTTTTTGGTGCACCCACCCTGGAATCGTCGCTAAGACTCACCCGTCCACGTTTGAACTCTCCATACCAACGGAAAATTGTCGACTGATGTGGCGCTTCGTTGCCGAAAACAGACAGTAACTCAGCAAGGCATTCTTGTTGCGATACTTAGTTGTAATAAATTATGGCGCGAAAATGTATCGGTTGAGTTCCATTTTTCTAATGACTTGGTGACACTTAAAAATTCATTGTAGTGAGAACACTGCACGTATTGTTGTGAAACTTTGAATTTAAGTTTACTAAAGAGTAAGGTTAAGATTCAGTACTGACATTCGATCCGCGCGGCCTACTATGTTTCTATATGCAAAACTTAAAAGACATCCCTCGTATAAGAGCAACTAGTAGGCATTTTTTATACCTTGAATTAAGATACTCCATAATATCAATCCTATTTTTTATTTGTATTCATGATATAAGAAATTTTTGATATTTACAAATTCTGACCTTGGTATAAGACAATTAGAAGATAACAAGATACCATATTAAAAATAGCCAGAAATGATCGTAATGAATTCTCTCGTACTACAGGGGTGCTGAAGTCAGATCTAAGAACTAGTTTCTATTAAAATTTATACTATCGAATAATAAGTGGATTTTGATCATCTTGAAAAAACGATATAAATAATAATAGAAACTTGGTCCAAAGAAGTTTATATTTATAGAAATGACATGAGATTACCTGAACGTGTGCTGGGTTTGAAAAAAATCAAATACCTACTGGAAAGCTCAAACATTATGCAACCTCTTCTAGAACCAATTTTTACCACATAATATGTCATGACCTATGCTATTTGCAGATGCAACCGATGGCAATATTAAGAATCCAAGCTTTCCAATATGTTTTTTTTCTAACTTTTCTACCTGGCTGACTTGGAATACTCTATCGAAGTGAAGAGCGGCTCTTAGACGATAACTCAAAAATCAAAGTAAAAAATGTGAAAACGCAATAACTGCAATTGAAAAATACAACGGTGAACTAAACAAATTATTTTCGAAAATTGCTGATAAGTTGACAGAAAATACAATGCATGAAAAAAAAACTAAATTATAGCAAGACTGTAAAACTCATTATATCTATCACTAACAGATGAACACAAAATAGTGAACATAATTAATGAATTGAAAGAAAGGAAAGCACCAGGTTTAGACAAAATTAGAGCTTACACCTTAAAAATAATTAACTCTGATATTTGCGGTATACTTTCATATTCAATTAATAATTGCATGAATAAAGCAGTACTCCCATCTTATTTGAAAACCGTAATTAAAACCTCTATTCAAATCTGGCGAAA